CACCATCCAATAGGAATGCATTATTTCATATTTGATATCTTTTTAAAAAGGAAACAAAATTTTATTAAGTTATATTATGTTTTTAAAAATAAAAAAAAAAACAAAAAAAAAATTAACAAAAAGGAAAATAATTATTTTTAAAGAAAATATTTTAACACTAAACCCTAAACCCCTGGGTAAATCATAAACCTTTGGATAAATCTTATAGTGTTTTAAAAATTTAGTGTTTATGATTTAGGGTTTACTGTTTATGATTTATCCAAGGGTTTAGGGTTTAGGATTAGATTTTAGGGTTTAGTGTTAAAATAATTTTTTTTAAGATTTTTTTATAAAATTTATCCAAAGGTTTATGATTTACCCAGGGGTTTAGGGTTTAGAATTAGAGTTTAGGGTTTAGTGTTAAAAAAATTTCTTTAAAAAATTTATTTTTGTTTTTATTATTTTTATTTATTTTTGTATTTTTATTTTTAAAACATGATTTGATTTCCTTTTTTAAAATATATCAAATATGAAATAATGCAATCCTATTGGATGGTGAACCTCTAGGTTCACCTTAGGGGGTGAACCCAAGAATAACTCGTATTTATAAAGATGTGAAAAACCTAGGTTTTAAGGAGATATTGAGTACAAACATATTGTGAGGATATTCTCGCATTAATTTTTTTTTCTGGTATATCAGAGCTTTATCAAATATTTTGGATTCCCATATCATTTTTGTTATATTTTTTACGCTGATTTAGGTAAAAGGCGTGGGAAGGAAGTCTCGAGATATATAGGTTGGCGAAATAAAAGGTAACAATTTATGGCAAAGATTGCAACCGGTATGGGAATCCAAAATATTTTAACCGAGAATCCAGGCAAAATCGTATACAAAAATTGCAATGATTTTTTGTTATAAATTAATATTATGTTACTTTAATTTTTTTTTAATTGAAACAATTGGTTAGCCATAAACGGGTTGGTTAACCAATTTCGAGTATGGTTAAAAGGAAACTAATTAACCTTGTTTCCAAACACATTTTATTTTAGTCTACTATTCTTGTTTCCAAACAACTTCATTGTGTACTTCAACTTTAGAATTTTTTTACCACTAGAGGCACATTTTGTCTTTATAATTTTAAACAGAGCCACTTTGTACATGTGACATACTTTTTCCCTGTTGTTTGACCAATATATCCTATATCTTAACCAAACTATCTCTTTCTCACGTGATTAATGACAAATCCCTCTCTCATCTACAGCCTACTTTCCCCCACAAAACACTAATTGCACCAAAAGCGCACAATTTCCCCAATTCACCGTCGCGGATTCTGTCACACCGAATTTCTTCTCCGATTGAATCCAACCGGGGATTGGTGGTCGCTCATCTAATTATCTCTCTTCAATACGACGGCTACTGTGGTCTCTGTCACTTTTCCCAGATCCTCACATCGTCTCTCGTCTCTGTCCAACACGATGAAGAACTCGTTCCTTTATTAGAGAAAAATAACTCTCTCAGTTCCTCGAACCGTAATCCCGACAAAATCCATCTTGTTGAAGACGCCATGGTTTCTCAGACAATCCGTAGCATGCTCACTTCTCCAGGTCTCTCATCTCCTCTGTTTTTTTCCTTGTCCTTCTCGTCGATGCGATTGCCATCTTGATTTATGAATGTGTAAATCTGTTTATGGATGTGATGACTCTCTCTTATTACTTACCTATACAGCTTCTCCTAATTTATGTCTGAAAAAATGAACTTTGTCCTAACTCAAGTTTATTACCATCTCCAGGGGTTTTATCTCAAAGACCAAGACACTGGAGGCTGAATAGAGAGAGCACCGTACCTAACCAACTATGCTCCTTCTCATCTTAGGAGCCGTTCGTAGTTTTCTGCTCTTTCACCCGGTAATCATCTTAAGTTCTGGGTACTATATTAGTTTATTCTTCTTCTGTCATGTTTACCTTTGTTTCACAAGTTCAAAATCTTAGTTTATGAATGTGGTGTCTAATTGCCTACTAGAATTGGCAATGAGTATACACAGACTATCCACATTCTTTTGTTCATAGAATTGGTAATATTGTTCCCAAGAACCTGTCCACAAAATATATATTCATCTCAAGTCTCAAAAATATCCACAAATTTGACTCACACTCTCATTTACAGTCACTTTCACTTACTCCAAGCCATGGACGGTCGAGCTGTGGTTAGGAAATATGTGGATGGGAGAGTTGTATTGGATTTTTTAGTGTACGGGTGAAGCGTGGAGGGGGGAAGTGTGTTTGGGTGAAGCGTGGAGGGGGAAGGGTGGATTGGTGAAGCATGGAGGGGGTTGTGGATGGGTGAAGCGTGGAGGGGGGGAGTATGGCTGGATGAAGCGTGGCAGGGAGAAGCATGTGGGATCTCTGTAGTTTATTGACTTGTTGAGAAATTTTATGTTTTGTTCGTTCGTTTGATTTTATGGCTTGATTGATTTTATGATACATTATGGCTGGATTGATTTTATGTTTGTTCGTTTTGTGGATGGATTTTAAGTCCAGTGGTATAGAATAAAGTGTTTGTGGATGGATTATGTTTGTTCATTTTGTGGATGGATTTTAAGATTCAATTTCAGATTAAATGGTGACCTTGTATATCCAACGGTGTAAAAAATTAGTGTTTTTTAGGAAATAAATATCAAACTGAACCAATTTTTTTTCTCAAGCTCACCCAAAGGACATCAATGACATTAACACACAGAAGCTATAAAAGAAAAAGTGTCACGACTTGTGTATGTGTCTCTATATGAAAGACAAAGTCCTATTGTCCCAATATGTAAACGGCTCATAATATAGACTAGTAGTTATTCTAAATGACGGGATGAGATACAACAGTGGAGTGCCTAAATCCATAATAGCATACAAATGATTACATGTCGACATTCGCCGCTCTTATTAGTTAATTTATTCTATTAATTTTGCAGCATGACCAGTTGATATTTGTTTGGTCCAACTAACTATTTAATCATTGATTTTTTTTATTTGACCTATATATAAATATAAAGATAATTATATAACTGTAATTATTTTTATTAACCCTTTATTTTAATCCCAAAAATCTCGGGACCCATTTCACTCAAATTAGTCGACGGTTATATTTTGATAATATCATTTGTTTTTAAATGTATTTTGACATTCATAATAAAAACAAACTAAACTGAATGATCACTAAATAAATAAAGATGGATGCATTGCGAAGAACATAAATCGGACGAGCTTTCTTGATGAACTTTATGTTGTTTAGAGAAAGTGATTTGTCGGAGTTTTCTTGACGAAACTGTTACGTTATTTAGAAAATGTGATTTGTCGGTTACTTTTTATGACCTATTGATAGAATAGATAATCAATGTTTTGAAAACCGTAAACATCAAAACAAACGAAGAAAGTTGATCAGTTATTATGAAAGTATGGCGGCCATTGAAATATTGCAGAGAATTCTAAAAGAACTTTTAGGGAAGATGGAACAATTACAAAAATGCCACTGAAAGAAAGAAAAACAATACACACTACAGAATTATATCTATCGAATGTAAAATGGGCCAACCTTCCGACAGGCCACAATGATATATATTAATAACCTCTTTCCAAATTTAATATGTAGCTACATTTATCTGAAACTTAAATTAGTGGTGAACGGGTTTCTAATGACATTTAATTTTTATGATTAACGGGATTTAATGAGATTTAATTGAACTTTCAATAGACATAAATATTCATATAAAACTCATAAAGTTAACTAATACTCCCTCCGTTTCAATTTAATTGTCATTCTAGAGTTTTGCACACAGATTAAGAAAACAATTAATTTTACATATTTTAAAAATAAAAACACAATTACCTATACACCTAACCACTTTTCAACCAATGAAAAAATAGAATAATATTTAAAATCAATAAATTTTGCATTGAAATTATAAAACGACACTTATTTTGAAACGAAAATTTTACTCTAGAATGACATATAATTTGAAACGGAGGGAGTATTGATATTAATTAGTGGTGAACGGATTATTAATGACATTTAATTTTATGATTAACGGGATTTAATGAGGTTTAAGTGGACTTTCAATATAGAAATAAATATCCATATAAAACTAATAAAGTTAATTAATATATATTAATAAGTGGTGAACGGGTAATTAATGACATTTAATTTTTATGATTACCGGGATTTAATGAGGTTTAAGTGGACTTTCAATAGAAATAAATATTCATATAAAACTATTTAGTTTAACGGGTTTTAATAAGTTATTCGACTTTTTCAAACATTTTTCAAAAAACAATTTCGGTTTTTGGTGTGGATTGAGGAAAAACAAAAATATACCCGCTCTCTTGAGTGCGGGTCAAAATCTATAAAACTTCGGTTTAAGTGGACTTTCAATAGAAATAAATATTCATATAAAACTATTTAGTTTAACGGGTTTTAATAAGTTATTCAACTTTTTCAAACATTTTTCAAAAAACAATTTCGGTTTTTGGTGTGGATTGAGGAAAAACAAAAAAATACCCGCTCTCTTGAGTGCGGATCAAAATCTAGTTATTAAAATTAAATCCAATATCCAGAAGTAAAAGACGACAGTGCCCCTTAATTGGCGAAACTGGAAGGGGAAAGAAAAGAGGGAGAAGAGACGATCGGGAGAGGGAGAGATTGCTAAAAGGTCCAATCTGATTCCTCGGATCCGATCTGCGACGGCTACGTTTTTCTGTGTGAAGAAGGGAGATTAGATCAGTTTTCGCGTCGCGAGAAAACGGTTTGTATTTGCATATCTTTAATCTACATTCCTTCTTCTAGATTTGACCTAAATGAGTAACCTAGATGTTTTCTGATCACTCATATTTACGTTGTTTTGTAATATGTTTTTGAGATATTGATTTGGGCTTTTGATTGATTCTTCTGCCCTCCATAGTGTCCAAAAGCCTTACGCTGAAGGAAGTATTATAATTCATATTGAAGAGGAGGAGGATTAACAAAAAAAGAAAGAAAAATGGCAGATGGGATATCTAGCTTTTGGGGTCCCGTGACTTCCACTATAGAGTGCTGTGAGAAGAACTACGCCTACTCTTCTTACATCGCTGAGTTCCACAACACCATCTCCAACGTCCCTGGCATCCTTTTAGCTCTCATCGGTCTCATCAACGCCTTAAGTCAACGTTTCGAGAAGAGGTTCACCATCCTTCACATCTCCAACATGATCCTTATCATCGGCAGCATGCTCCACCACGCCACTTTACAGCACGTGTAAGTTATATATATACTTATTACCCTCCGTCTCTATGTGTTTACCATTTCCTGATGTGAACTTCTTGGTCCAAGCCAGGCTACAACAGAGCGATGAGACGCCAATGGTGTGGGAGATACTTCTCTACATGTACATTCTTTACTCACCGGATTGGCATTACAGAAGCACCATGCCTACTTTTCTCTTCCTTTACGGTGCTGCCTTTGCTGTTGTCCACGCTTACCTCAGGTTTGGGATCGGTTTCAAGGTCCATTACGTGGTGCTTTGCCTTCTCTGCATCCCTCGGATGTACAAGTACTATATTCACACGGAGGACACTGCGGCCAAGAGGATTGCGAAATGGTACGTCGCTACGATCTTAGTGGGGAGCGTTTGCTGGTTCTGTGACCGTGTTTTCTGTAGGAGGATATCTCGGTGGCCTGTGAATCCTCAGGGTCATGCTCTGTGGCATGTCTTCATGGGGTTTAACTCTTACTGTGCGAACACGTTTTTGATGTTCAGTCGGGCACAGCAGCTTGGATGGAGTCCGAAGGTGAAGTACTTTCTTGGAGTTCTTCCTTATGTCAAGATTGAGAAGCCGAAAACACAATGAGAGGAAGAACCAAGGAGAAGGTCATATATATAGTTTTTGTTCAACCTTTTTGTCAGAAATTTTCGTTTTACTTTTTGGGTAAGTGAAAAATTCTATATACAGAGTCTAGATTTTTATTTTATTTTATTGTCTTAGTTATTGGGAACGATGATGATCTTAAGAAGAAATGATTTTTAACTTGCTAAAATGCTCTCGTGTCAGTCAATTTCACCACATTCTTCTTCATCTTCTTAACTTGCGTACCGTGAATTTTAATCTTCCTTGGCAATTTAGCAACATCCTCTGGGTTGTGTCTTGCAAAGAAGTCACCATAGAGGAGAACAATGCAAGTGCATAGAGCAAGCCACTGAACTTGTCAGTCGTCACTCGTCACTACGGGACACCTATAGCAGCCCATCTTGGCATGATCTCTGATGGGAAGGTTTCGTGAGTTGGGTGAACAACACAGCAAACGAATCGGATTACGTCGACCAAAATTGTTGTTTAAATTATTTTTTTTAGACCAAAACCATTAGGACATTGTCCCTTTAAACTAAATTATATTTTATACCAATTTTTATTCTAATATCCTTTATTATTTTCGAAAATTAATAAAATAAATAGATTTGTGAACCAAAATAAATTTTTAAAATAGTACCTAATGATGAAATATCTATGTCAATAAAGTGATAATTTTCTTTCTAGTTTTAAAAATGTGTGAATCATAATTTCATATATTGTTCTACATATATTAGAATCCGTGTACTACTTAGTAGAATACTAAATCTATTTTTTTCATATTTCTACTATTTTCAGAATACGTGTTCTACGGAAATAACAGTAATCTAAAATATTTTGGAATACACATTCCGCGTTTAACATATTCTTCTAATATAGGTAGAAACCATAATCTAAACATTTCGATAAATCTAAAATAAGTAGAAATCAGAATCCACATTCTTCCTATCATTCTAATACTTATAAAAGCTGATTTCAAAAGTTCTTACTAAGTTCTACATTTAGTAGAATATGTATTCTATGAATAAAAATAATCAGATCCGAAAATATAGGAGAAAATATTTGAAAATATTCAGTTTTCATATTTTTAATTCATTTTTTTAAGAAAAAGAAAAAACTAATTTCAAATTAGTTTGGGGATTTTTTAAATATTTTTTTAATTTCAAATTAGTTTTTAATTAAATCTAAAATAGATAATAATGATTTTCTAATTATAATTACAAATTACTAAATTAATTTTAAGGGTAATATTGGCTTTAAAAAATATTTAGTTTAATAAGACAATAAGTAAATGAGATTAGTCTAAAAGTATAATGTCTTAATGTTTTGGTCTAAAAAAACTATTTTCTCTTGTTTTTTCTTTGTCATATGACCCGAGAGAAATTTCTTCAAGAAGTAAATAAAAAGCAACGAGGTTACCGAAATAACGAGAATACCCTTTACCTATATGCCTTAGATACCAAGATTCACAAGGGTAACAACATAGACATACTTCTTACAAAAAAAAAACAACATAGACATACATAATCAAAAGTTCAAAACTAACCATGAAGGGCATATACGTCATTCACCGAGTTATAAGAGAGAGATAGAGAGACAAGACAACGAAGAAGAGAGAGAAAGAGACTAGGGTAAGAGAGAGGATAAGACAGAGAAAGTTGTTTTTTTTTTTTTTAATTCTTCCTCATGATAAAGCTTTGAATTGTGTCGTCAAATCAAATGGTGTCTGACCAAGATCTAGCAAAAGGAGTCGAGACTTTGCTCCGACAATCCGACCCCACCTCTCTCACATCCTTATCCAGTGTCGTTCACCAGCTCGAGGCTAAGCTAGGGTTAGACCTCTCCGACAAAACCAATTTCATCAGAGACCAGATCGATCTCCTCCTCCGTTCTCCTCACCCACCACCCTCCTCCTCATCAATTGCACAACCTCCTCCTCCTCCTCCTCCGCCTCAGCAGCTGCATTTTGGCGTCAATGTTCCGGCGAAAGGGCATTTCGCACTTCACCCTCCGTCTCAACAATACCCTCCTCCACATTTCGCTCTCCAGCCTTCTCCTCCTTACCACTCTTATGACCTCAATTTCCAGCAGCCGTATCCTCCTTACATGCCTCCACCGCCGCAGCAGCATCAAGGACCATCTATGCTGTTTTCACAAGGCGCCAAAGCTTCTCCCTCTGTTAATCAATCCCCAAAAGAAAGGTTCGTTTTTTGGGGCTTTTAGGGTTATGTTTCGTTGATTTGAGGGCCTAATGTTCGTATTCTTTCCCATTGCAGTAATTGGGGATTTCCTTTTTAGGAAAGTCTAAATCTGTAAGTCAAGTTATTAGGTTTTTATGACTTGATTTTTTGTCTCTATAGCAGTGCACCAGCTGGAACTAAAAGAAAGGGTGGTCCTGGAGGACTAAACAAAGTCTGTAGAGTTTCTCCAGAGCTTCAAGTCGTTGTTGGTGAACCTGCACTTCCAAGAACTGAGGTTATTATGCTCATTCACGGTTATTATGACAATATTTTTTATTAAGCTATTGTTGTTAAAGTGTTGGCTTTTTTGGTTGTTAGATTGTGAGGCAGTTGTGGGCTTACATAAGGAAGAACAACTTGCAAGATCCGAGTAACAAGCGGAAGATCATCTGTGATGATGCTTTGCGTGTTGTTTTCGAGACTGATTGTACTGATATGTTTAAGATGAATAAGTTACTTGCTAAGCATATTCTCCCGCTTGATCCAACGAGTAATGGTTTTTGCTCAACTTCGAATGTTATTGGTTAGTTCAATGTTACTGACTCTTTTGAATTCTCGTTTTGGCAGAGGACTCTGGTCAAGCGAAACGGGCAAAAGCTGAGGTGGAGACCAAGGCTGAGACTAAGACTGAGACCACAGAGCCTGTTAGCTCAACTTCAACTGTTTCATTATCTGAGCCACTTGCTAAGTTCTTTGGCACTGGTGAGGCTGAGATCACAGAAGAAGAGATTGTTCGCCGTGTGTGGGAATATATTAAACTCAACAATTTAGAGGTAGGTGTTGCATAGATAATGCTTTTTGAATGGTCATTCACACACCAGAAAACTAAGCAACGTTGGTTCTGCTTTTCGATATGTTTACAGGACCCTGCAAATCCAATGGCTATTCAGTGTGATGAAAAGCTCCGTGAGCTTCTTGGATGTGAAAGTATATCAGCTGTGGGGATAAATGAGATGCTGAGGCCCCATATGTACAAGCGGTCTTGATTTCTTCTGGTTCTGACTTAATTAACTAGGAACTACTTGTGGTAAGTGAAGATTGATCTCACAGATTATGTATTTATATATCAGCATTGTCAGCTATTGATTTTCTGTATCACAATCATTTTGCAGTTGTATCTAGGTGGACCTACTTATGACTCTTGGATGTAGAACTCTGATAGTGAAGAAAAGAACCTTTCCACTTTTAACTTCCTTTAATGCTATTTTCATCTTCCTTTGTCTTTAGCTGGTTGTGTATTAAAATGATTAGGTTGATGTATTATTCAGGAAACCTATGTTTCTAGTACTGTAAACTCTAGTGTAAACGGGTCAATTGGCGTAGACGTTTTGTATTTAACGCCATTTACCAATGAATGTTATAGGAACAAAAAAGCAGTGAAAAAACATGTTATTAATGGGTGTTTTATCTGCTATCTTCTATCTTATTTGCTGTGTATTTATTAGAGTTCCTGTTAAAACCGAAAAACTCGTTTTCCTCGTCAAAATTGTAAAAATGCGTTTTTCTCGTCAAAACTGTAAAAACGCATTTTTCTCGTCAAAATTGAAAAACGTGTTTTTTCTCGCCAAAATCGAAAACACATATTTTCCAGTAAAACTTAAAAAACGTTTTTTCCGCCAAAATCTAAAAACATGTTTTTCACGTGAAAACCGAAAAACGAGTTTTTTACTAAAATATGTTTTCTCGTCAAAACCGTTAAAACATATTTCCTGCCGTATTTTTTTTTTTTTTGCAAAATACGTTTTATCGCCAAAATAAAAAAATGCATTTTTTCGTCAAAACTGTAAAACATATTTTCTCATCAAAATACCCCAAACCTGTGTCCCCCCCCCCCCCCCCCCGATTTTATTAATTAAGGGGCCCAATATTTTTTATATATACATATTATTATATAGAAAATTTTAAATATTTGTAAATTTTAGTTGAATAGGGGCCCTAAAATATTTTACATATACATAATTTATTTTCATAACAAATTTTTTAAAGATATTGATGTTAAAGATTTAAAAATATTTAATTTTTAATAAATATAAACATTACAGGTAAAAAAGAAATTTTGCCCAAGGGCCCAAACAAAAGTTGAGCCGGCCCTGGTTATGTGTACCAATGAATGTTTTAGTAACAGAAATAAGTGAAAGAAAAACATGTGTGTTAATTGGTGTTTTATCTGCCAATGTGTTAAAAGATATGGACTCATGATCATGGGTTGTGTATGAAACGAGTTTAGACCGGAATGATTACTGATTCTGTGGCTAATCTGGAAACCGTTGTTAAATCAATGAGTCAATCGGGTTACTCAGCTGGGTTATGGAAATTGATCCGGTTAGATAAAAATCCTGGTCTAACTCAGTTCGGTTATGGGGTCCAATTTGGTTAAATCAGTTGTTGTCTTGTCGTAGGAAGAAAGGATTCTCCGATCGCATCTCAAGCGAGAATCATCATCATCATCATCAAATGGCGGAAGATCTGGTTCTAGACACAGCAATCAGAGACTGGGTTCTGATCCCTCTCTCCGTAGTGATGGTCCTAATCGGTGTCCTTCGCTACTTCGTCTCCAAGCTCATGCGTTCCTCTCCAACTCCCGACGCAAAGATCCTCAAAGAAGGGTGACTCATCTTCTTCTTCTTCTTCTTCCCCTATCTATTCACTTATCTACAAACAGATCTGTTTATCAGAATCAGCTGCTTGAGTTTTTTTAACTTGTATCCAGGCAAGTTGTAATTAGGGCTAGGAATCTGAAGGCGGGTGCTAATTTCATCCCGCCCAAGTCCTTCCGATCTCGGAGATTCTACTTTAGCAATGAGGTATGATTTTGTAACATGAGAATAATCAATCATATGAACTATGATTGTGTATAATTTCCTCTAGTTACTTTCTTTACTACTCTAGTTAGTTACTAAGAGTTATATATTCATTCTTTATGGTCTCATTTTTGGCTTCAAATCAGGATTTATGTATGCTAGAATGGGTATCAAGCAGTATAGTTGTTTTTCTGTGCTCAAGTTAAGTATTGATTGGTGTAGGAAAATGGGTTGCTACATGTACCCAAGGACCAAGCTCAAAATCCACAAGCTCAGATGTTTTCTGATCCCAACATGGCCATGGATATGATGAAGAAAAATCTTTCTATGATTATACCACAGGTGAATTTTAAGTTTTTCTTTTTTTTTTTTTAATTCAGTCACTCTTTTATGTGTTATTGGTAAATTTAGAAACTAAATGAACTCTACCATCTGCTAGACGCTCACTTATGCATGGGTCAACTTCTTCTTCTCTGGGTTTGTTGCAGGTTTGTTTCTCTTTGTATATATAGTGTGTCCCATTTTATCCTCCTTTTTAGCTTCACAGACGCAGTATCTGAAACTTTCTAATCTGATCTTGCAGCCAAGATACCATTTCCCCTGACTCAGAGGTTCAGGTCAATGTTACAGAACGGGATAGACTTGAGTACTGTTGATGTTAGCTACGTGAGCAGCCGTTCATGGTATGTATCTAGTTACATAGACGATCAGTCTTATGATGTTTTTTTGTTTATATTCTATTGTTTCATGAGCTGTTGTTCTTTCCATGTCTTAGGTACTTCTTGAACTTGTTCGGATTAAGAGGCTTATTTAGTCTCATTCTTGGAGATGAAAATGGTTAGTGTTCCACCTACGCCATTTCTCCTCACGAAACTCTTTACAAGTTATCTGTTTCTTCTGTAGCAATTGATGATACACAACGAATGATGCAAATGGGTGGATTTGGTTTTGATGCATCAAAGGTATATCTATTACAAGCACCTTCTAGTCTTTCTTGAATCATCACCCAACATTTGTTTCATTCTACCATTGGTCCAAGTCCTGATTATTGTACTGTTGTCTTTGCAAAATTGGCTAACAGAGCTTGGGAGCTGAGAAGGATGGTCTCGACATTATTCAACATGAATGGGCTTTACCCGGATTCGAGCACCGGGCAGAGTCGGTTTTGAGAAAACTCGTGCAGTAGAGAGGACATTTGTACCCTGATTTTTGGTTTTATTTGATTTGGTTTAAGTCTGTCTGTAGCATTATTACAAAGCATTACTTTGTTTTACCTGATCTGGTTCTCTTGTGATCTGATGCATATTATCTTATAAAACTTCTGAGAGCTTGTCCTCTCATTTTAAATGGATCACTAGAAGATTGTGTAAGTTAGCTTGAACATATGGAATTGATCTAGTATCAATAGTATCGACAACTACAAATATTCGTCCCGTGTTTTGATGCCTCTGCTAAAACGTGTACCGCGTCCCAAACAATAACGAGCCTAACGAGTAAGAGAAGAGACAGATGGAGAAGATTAAAAAGGAAAAAACAACACAAAGCCTAAAAGGAACAAAATGTCACTAGAGTTGAAATCCAAAATATAGTCCCAAAGTAAATAAAATATAATATATGGAAAGCCTTTTGAACACAGTTAGAAAAACTTCAGATTCTCCACATAGCCTACGAGGGTGTTTATATGTGTAGGATGCTCAAGCTCTTCCATTCCCTGAATATTGACTCTTTTAATAGTGTTCCTCTCAATATTGTAGAACCAAACAGAAGAGTTCCATGAGTAGACAATTTCACCTGTACTAGTCATTCCAACAAACATCAATTCGGCGACCATCGCGTACCCCAAAGGACACAATACATAGCTATGCTTGGACCATTTATGATTTTCAGCATCTTCTAGTACCCACAACACAAGGTTTTGTTTAACGAGACTGATGTATAGCTAGTTTATCTTTGTAGTTGAACAAAGTTGAAGGACTAGTATAATCATAAGTAGGCTTTGGTAACATGTCTTCATCTTTGTTAATAAAACCGAACTTCTCTGACCTAACATCAAACCAAACTATCACACAAGACCCTTCCAACGTACCCTTGAAATACAAAATACCATTTATGCATATATCAATAATGTCACCAGTATTCTCCTTAAAATTGAAGTTGGGTTGGAGCCTTCTCCACAACTGTTTTCCAGACTCCAGTGTCAAAATCCAATGAATATTCATACTCAAACACAGCACTTTGAACTGTTTTCCGATCGGATCGTAGCCTAGGTATATTCCCTTGGGAGTGTTTATTCCTTTTCTAGGCACTTTGGTTAAGGTTCGGACTTTTCCCTTGGCAGGGTTACAAACCAGCGGCCTTTTTCTTCTTCCGCATCCCTGAAGCAAGACCAATCCACATACAGGTTTACATACATAAGTTGAAATCAACGTAGGGTGATAAGGGGTGGCTACAAGAGAAGAGTTATCGTCTGGATTATGAGGCTGAGGTGAAGAGTAGAAGAACAACTTTCCCTTAGTTTTTACGATGAAAAGCAGCCCTGGACGAGTCAAAGACTTAGTCAGAAACAACTCAGTGAAATCAGAACGGCTAAGTATGGATGCCCCCTATTTCGAAACACAACGGAACCTAGCTATAGACTTTAAGGGGACTCGAGTCAATTGCTCTATTACCCCCATATGTTAAGAGTCAATCTCCCAAACCCCCGGTATATTTTTATTTGAATATTTGTAGTCCATACCTACAATATTTACCATACTAGGTGATTTTCCCGTGCTCATGCACGAGTATAAATATTTTTAAAGTAAATATATAATAATAATTGATTATTATTTACTTTTAATTTTAAATTAATTTATAATTTGTATGCATCATTTATATTAATAGTATTATATTACTTTACTTATACTATAATTTTATATATGTTATATCTAGTCAATTTTGTTGTTTTACGGTTGGTTTAGTTATCATTTGGATAAATTGGATTGCATCTCTGAATTCAATTGTACTATATTTAAAATATATTAATTTTTAATTAGTTACTTATTTGCATATGGTGGGTGTTGTCTTAGATATGTAAATATATTTTAGGAAAATTATGTATAACTTAAGATATATTGTACTTAGAATGAATTAAAAATTAACCAAAGTGTCTGATTCCAAAATACATAAATTAATATAACGAAAATATTCTAAAGTCTCATGGATATATATAAATTTTACAAAAGAACTATAATTGTAAGAGTTGGTTAGTATTTATTTTTATTTGTTAATATGTTTTGAGTTATCATATGATCAATATAAGGTTACATGCATTTATAAATTCTAAATAACTTTATGCTTTAGATTTATTGAATGTAAACTGAAATTTATTTTAAATAATCTTAAATTGAGGATTCAGATTTGCTTTGATATTTTGATTATGGTTATATTTAGTTTCATAAATATAAAACATAAAATTTAAAACAATTAATATTAATAAAATAAATAATTTTAATAATGATAAAATATCATATATCTAGCTCATTAGAACAATTATTTTGACCAAACGATGTTTATTGTTAAATTTATTTTTATTTTTAATTATCTCTTAAAAATAAGCACTACACAAAATTGTGATTGTATTTGAAAATAATATTATATAAGCAAAATATAAGTTCTAGATAATTTTATGTAATTGAAAGATATTATAGTCAACTAAATATATGAAAAATAAATAAAAATAAATAAAAATTCAATAATACTAATTATAAACTATTTTATTACTCTAAAAGTATATTTTCTGTTATTTAAAAATATTTTTAAATGTATTATTACTATTTTGTGAACTTTCCTTTTTTATGAAATTATATTATATATACATATTTTTATGTTATTTAAAAATATTTTTAAATGTATTATTACTATTTTGTCAACTTTCTTTTTTTATGAAATCATATTATATATACATATATTTTCGTTTTAAATTTTTTTTTTATGACTTTATAAAAAAATGCCTTTTTATTGCATATCTTTTTGGAAATTTTTGAAAAGGAAAAACTAAAAATAAAAGAATTAATGATACTATTTTCAACTATTTTTAATTCATTAAGGGTATCAATGTAATCAACCATCGTGAGAGCGACACATAAGAAACTGACTTCTCAAATAATATTATAGAGATTTGCATTTCATACCTAATTTACCCCTAATTTTTTTCCCTCCATTATCATTATTTCTCCACAATATTTAGGTATTTTCTTAATTACTACATTTTTCTTGTAGTTTCAACCAATTCACCCTTTTTATTTTAGTTTTAATTAATTTTTAATGCAAAAACTAAGTGAATTACATATTTACCCTGCAACTATCTAACCTAATGAAATAAACTTAGAGATTGAGTATTCTCTTACCGAGTTTGATGAGTGTGTTTCATGTCTTGATGTGCTTGAGATTAAACCTTCCGAGAACTGCTGCCCCAAATTTCCATGGCAGATTTTATAAACCCTAGATGAAATCGCTGTGACCAAAACCTATACTACCAAAACCTATACTTCCGATCAAAGCTGTATTTCTGTATGACTTTATAGAATTCGAGGATGAATAGGAATTGCTTGTCATATCTTCTTATATTAGGTAATATATTTACATAACTCCTAAACATATTTTAATTCTTAATTTCCATATCTTGGTAGAATTAGGTATTAACTATTAGTTAATACTAATTCTACCAAGCTTAATCTAACACTAGATTTTGATATGTGCGTCCGCATGGATGTATTTTTCAAAAATATATTGCTATTTATTTTTATATTAGTATTATATATCATATATGTTTTATCATATAATTAATAATATTTTATACGTAATATAATATAAATTATTGCTGAGTTTGCGGGTTGATCCACTCCACTGCGAATTGAATCATTTTTTGATTCAATTGACACGCAAATGAGAAAAAATATACATGAACCCGCCTTGTTTAAATTAGTGGATAAAAGTTTAATATTTCTATCACAAATATATTTCACAAAATATATTCCAAATCATTTAAACTTTACTTGACATCATATATATTTCAAAGTGCGGATATTATTTTCTTTTTAAATTCTATAACAAAATTGATAGTTAACGGTTTATGTGTTTTTGTATGAGATAGCCTACTACGTTTATGATTTGTGGAAGTTTGTTTTGTTTTATAGTTTATAAAACAACAAAAATATTCATTTCAATATAGATTCTTATACTTTTTAAAATGTGATTTTAATATTTAACAATTATTTAATTGATTAACAAAATATATTTTAAAATACTTTTTGGAACATCACTATATAATTAGAAAGTTTATGATATATTTTTGTAATGATATCATAAAAATTTGCTAAGATAATGATTTACATTAAGACAACTGTCCTAGATCTAACCTAGAAAATAAATATGAAATGTGAAAATAATGAATTAACCTGAGATTAATAACAGAAAAAAACAACTGTTAAAAATATAAAATAAAAAAAAATGAAGAATGATCAAATCATATGTGGCTTCAAAAGAGGAATCATTATAATAGATCATCTGCACATAAACCAAAACCATAGTCAGAAAAAATAAGTGCATATATATATATATAGTCTTAACATTCTAAAATAAAATAAGTTTACTAAATCCAAAGTAGAAAAATAACATCATAAAAATCCAGTGACTTTGTTTCTTTGTTGTTAATGTCTTATATATAGTAAATTGATAAATGTTTCTAAACGACATAGCTTTTACGAGAAAGTTTGAAATAAAATATTATTTAATAAATTTTCAAAAATATTATACATATAATGTAAGATTATTTTTTTGAATATCTTGTTGGTAAAGGTAAAGGAGAATATTTTGTGATTGGATTGTACTAGAAATTTTGTTGACAGATTTCACTATAAAAATTAAATATTAAATACATGAAATTATGAGAGTAGATATCTCGTCAGTTGATTTTGCAACAACTTTTTGAATGACATGTTCTATAACAAATATTTAAATTTAAAATATATATTAGATAAAAATAAATATTCAACAAATAAACATTGGTTCTTTTTTATTTGTTGTTTACGTCATACTACTATTAAATTGGAAATAAAAGTCTAGAAAACTTACCAATACAATCCATTGATTGTGTTTTTGTGGCTTACAGACGAATATAACACAAGGTTGGACTAACAAAAACCCAAGTCGACAATTCTATAGTTGTCAGCGTTTAAAGGTATGAGATAGGAATATAGGGGAATATAGACTTTAGATGTGAAATATAGATTAAAAGAAAAATGGAAATTGTGGCAGCTTGGAGATGATTGCAATTACTTCGCTTGGTTTGATGAAGAGGAAGGTACAAAATGGCAAAGAAGAGCTTTGATTGAAGTCCGTGATGAGATCAAGCAGAATACTAAACTGATTGAACAATTGACTCTAAGCATCTCAGAAATGGAAAGCAATTTGGAGAACAAACAAATAGTGGATGACGAAAATGAAGATGAGATTTTTAGAAAGTTTGAAGAATTCTAGGTTTAACTGTTTTCTAGTGAGCTTTTTTTCCTCATTTCTGATCGGTCTTTTCCTCATCTGGTCTTTTTTTTCCTGTTTGTTTTTTGTTTCTTTGCTTCGGCGGCAGATAGACTTGCAAGTCTTTATTTTGTAGTTTGTCTACTTGCAAAACTCCAAACTTTGGTTTATTTATTTTGTGGCTGACGATAACATGAAATTGGAACATGAAACTGAGATTGCAACATGATCTCATTAAAATGCAACATACCGAAAATGAAATTGAAATTGTAATGTCGAGAAAATGCTAGAAAATGATAGTTTCAAACTTCTACAAACCGATTCTGAATCCCCCAAAAGCATAGAGTTTTTCAAACTTTCCATCCAACTTGAAACAGTTCCCATGAAACATAGACAAAAAAATTCCGGATTCCTTTCTTCTCTTTCTCTTTGATTCCTTCTGCTTCCATAGGCTCATATACCTGCAAGTTACATTTACTTCTAAGTCAGTTTTACCAGTAATACCAAATTGTTTTCTCAAAGTTATTATAGTATTTCATAGTATACTAGTCTATCACTAATTTTACCAATTTCTCAATGTTTCACCTAGTGGTACTTGTATTATGTATAGTATACCATAATTCTTAGTTCTACACATCATAGCCATAATTCATATTTCTAGTTCTATGCATGATTCTTTTTTCCTTCCTTTCCTTTTCTCCTCCTTCCTTCCCTCCTTCCTTCACCAGCATTACCAATTCAAATAAAACCTACGATTCAAAATCCAATCCTAAATTAGGAAATCTCCTAAACTGTTACCTCCTTGTCGCCGTCCTACTCCTCGTCCCCATTCTTATCTCCTTCCACTACATTTTCCGAATCCTTATCCTCACCGTCATTCTCCTCTCAAGATGTAACTGCCACCGCAGTTTCAACGAGGACACTTATTGGCTCTGAAAGGACTCCATCTGTCACTGTTGCTGGCCCCTCTTGCGGTCTCTCCTCCGGTGTCTTCGTCATCTCTTTTCACTCTATCGATTCACACACACAAATGGGATTCAAGGGGGAAACCAATTACGAAAGGTTGAGAACAAAAGAGAATTTTTTTTTTCATTTTTTCTTGAACGGTCTGATTTTATTAAATATGAAATTAGAGTTTCATTAAGTAGGTCTGGTCTGGGGTTTGGATTCTTCGGTTTAAGAATGATTTCCGGTTTAGGTTTAGTTTAATTCACGGTTTGAATTAGATCAGACTGATTTTCTGTACAACTAGATATAATTTGTAGTTAACTCAATTTTCTTAAGGTTCTACGGTCTTTTACATATTACTAGATTCTTTTTCCGCGCTTATGTATTTTAATATTTTATTTGTTTAAAACTATTTTGTACTATTAAGATGGGTATGTGAAATTTAAATAAACTTTTTTACATAAAATTTAAATATATATAAATTTATATATTATTTTATTTGAGTATATATACACATGTTTTTTGCTGCATTGAAAAATAAAAAAATTTATGGGAAACTATGTTATAATTCAATTCCTCATCTTACCTTTTTGAGTTCTCACTATAAGAAATTCTTAGCTTTATAATGGTTTACATTTTTCATTTGGTTTTAGGATCAATATTGAGTTTCTATTTTAATTGTGGTCTTCTTAATTTTATTCTCTTTTCTCGTCTGTTTGGCTTTTCATTACATGGTTATTAGAAAATCTATAAAAATTTATTTATATATTTTTAGACAATGGTGATAAGAAAGGTAATTGTATTCATATAATGATGGATGGGCGAATCATGAGGAATATGCATGAGAACCAAGTTATTACTTTGTTTCATGTGGCATAGCGAATTCCAAATAAACAATCAAGATCATAATAATATTCTACAACATTTATTTTGTAGGGTTCCCCCCCCCCTCAGCAGGTTCACTTGCTGTGTTTGCTTTCATTATGCACATCATATAAGTATCTACAGGAAAAATTCAAAGACATTTGTCTTAAAAAAAAAGTTACTGAATGAAATTACTCAAATAAACTATTTCTTGGATTTTCCGCATTAGCCCAAAATTAATCCTAGGCCTAGCACAATCAAACCTTAACCCAAGTAGTCCAAAAAGAAGTGTGTAGAATATGTAGACAGGATTAAGAGAATTTCTAGAAATAGCTAACAGCTACCTTTCTCTAATATAAATATTACTATTTAGATCATTTGTAATAATCATCAAGAATTAAGCAAAAATAAAGTGAGAAAGAGAGAAATGTGTTTCTGAAAGAGTTATAAAGAAGTTTGGGTAAACGACCTATTTCCACATCAAAAGTATCGTATAGTAACAGTTCCACACAATCTTTCATAATCATCTTAATTGTAAGACTCGATCCCGGCCTCTCAGGCCGCGGTCAAAGCCTCACGTCGCTCAGTCCTCTTCCGGACCGAACTTCAAAAAATTTCGCCCTTTATTTATAATATCACCCATAGGCGAGGGCCAACTTAGATCTTAACTTAAGACTACCTTAGTATTTCCTAGCTTAGATCATTTTTATTCATACGCAGCGGATTATACTATATTAACCATTGGTCTAAAACCAATCTAAAACTTGTCCAATCTAATCGTCTATACCTTGGTCAGTTCATTGAACTACCTTTCAGCTTATAGATCGATCCTTACATGGTACAAGTCATACAAGTTCAAGGTTCCATTCCCCTAAACCATTCTAGCTAGATCTAATAGAAAGTAGCTAGATCATACATTTGCCACATCCACGGAGCTTGTTAGCTCATTGGTCTAGCTGACTTAGTTAGCTCATCCTCCTAGCTGACTTAGCTAGCTCATACTCTTAGCTGACTTAGCTAGCTCATACTCTTAGCTGATTTAGCTAGCTCATCCATCTCTTTAGGCTGACACTCCTAAGCTAGCTGAAAACGAGCTAAGGCCAGCTGCCTCAGCTTGTTTAGCTAGCTCATCCAGCTAGCTAAGCTGAACCCCTTCACCTGAGGTTTCATCTACTTGCTTCCAGCTGACCAAGCTGCAAGACAGCTGCGCCCAGCTCCTTACCAACCCGTCCAAATCTCTTATACCTGCATAAACATCTCCCCTTGGATACTTAGTCATTCAACCAATCATCCCCACTGACCAAGTAACCTTTGGAAGTCTTCAACAGCAATGGTAATGCATCTAGCTCCTCTCAACTAATGCATCACCCATCTCCTCACGCTTGTAGCATAAGATAGCAAGTCTCTCTCTTGGACTAACATGTGCATCCTTTGATCAAACAGAGAAGACACCTTGATCCATCATCCATGGATCAGGTCGTCCCCCTTTACTCATGATCAGATCACACACAGTCTTCCTTGCATAATAACAAACAGATCCATATTTGTGGTCCACGCCACCCAATACCAGCCTTACCCTCAGGTATCAGTATGACAACAAGCAAACATGCTCTAAGACCACACAAGCACAATAAATACATATTAATCCGATAACCTAGCACATGGTTCTAACAATTGCATGATTCCGAGCCTAAGGTTGTGTTCCTGCTCAATTTTGGCCAAACTCAAAATTGCTCTAAAAATTAATGTTAAGCTTTTTAAAATACCCAAAAAAGATAACTAACACGAATCCAAGGTCAGAATCCACAGGAAAAATCATTAACCCTATGATCCGACCCAAAACAACCCTAGGCCTAAATATGGTTTTTGAGAAACTCAACTCCAAATCGGGCCTAGTCGTTTCCAATAATTCTTAAATATCCTAAAACATCTATCCTCAAAGTTTCAAGCCATTTGATTCAGTAAAAAGTGGTTTTGGATCAGTAAACCCAAATCTGTCCTAAAACAGTCCCATTGAACCGGCACTTATGTACGGTTCATGGGAAGGTCTTTCTGATCACCAAACTTTCGTCTGTGTGGTTTCGAGTTTCGATCTTTGAAAATGGGGGTAAACAGGTTCATATACTTGAAATGTGTGCAATTAGGTTCACATAGTTAAAATGTGTGCAATTAGGACGAGCATGAAAGATTATGTGGAACTGTTACTATATGAAACTTCAGGTGTGGAAATAAGTCGTTTACCCAAGAAGTTTCAAAATAGTCTCCAAATAGGAAAATACAAAGCTTTAGTAGAAAATCTTTTTCTTAATATACAAAAGCTATTTCAAACATTAGTTGTCCACTTTCCATCTTAGGTCTCGATTGGTACCGTAGATGATAAAGCATTAACAGTATGCTGTAGAAGTAGTATGTTGCAGAAACTGTATAATTTCAGTAAATTTTTTTATAAAGTGATTGGTAAAACAATAGTATTATACAATTTTAAAATTATCATAATAGTTAATATAATAAATATTTATATTAAAATATATTTATATATTCATAATAGATTTGTTATTAAATATAATGAATCTTATTTATTATATAAAATTATATTATAGTTTATATGTAAAATATTATTATTTAAAAATGTAATTTTAAAAAAATATTAAATTATTTTTGGATATAAAAATATTTAATTTTTTAATTAAATAAATAAATTATATATAATTTATATATAAATTATTATTATTTATTGATAGAGCATTTAAATTCATATATAAAATTATCATAAAAATAATATATGTTATATAATTTATTTATTAGTGTCTAATTAATATATATATATATACATATATGTTTATATTTATAATATTTAAATATATATTATGTTATGTTTATTATTAACAATAACGAACGATATGTGTAATTATATAAATTATATTATATTTTAAATGTAAAATATTGTTTTTAATAATTTAAAATATTTAATTATAATTTTATTTTAATTTCTCAAAATTTAAATTTATTTTTTGATTATAAAAATATTTTTTATATTATTAAACTAAAATAAATAAATGATATGTAATTATTTTTAAAAGGTTTATATATTATAAATGTAAATGTTCTATCAAAAACTCTATTGAAGAGCATTGAGCAAATGATATTTAGAGAATATTAGCCTTTGGTAAATGTTATTCCAAATGCTTCTT